GCGAACCGCTTGGCGCTTCCCCCAGGGCCTCCCGCCCGCTGCCACATCCTCACCCTGCCGTTCTCCAAAGCCTGGTTGAACATTTCCCCTTAAGTTACGCTTTTTCTGCTAGTTCATTGTTGCATCTTAAATATTTTTTAAATGATAGCACCAAAGAAAGTCTAAATTCATACAAACTGTTCTACTTAGGATATCCTCTCTACAGTTGTTCTGTGCAGATAATAGTAATGTAGCTACATCATAGAAGGTTTATAGCAGGGTTATTCTAGTGCCCGGAATATAGACGGTGCTCACTAAATCATTAGCTCAATAGGTAATGATGGTAGTAACTATTATAAAATTAATGCTTGTGCTTCAGAAAAAAAGTGAATAGAAACTATCAGTTTTCTCAATATTTTTCTTGTGTACTGCTAGGAAAGTTATTCAGGGCTAAGAGAGGCCACATGGCAAAATGGTGATTATTTTTGGCATGAGAATTCCTGGACCCCACACCTGCCTTTAATAGATATTAGTATGTGGCCTCAGGCCTCTCCAGGCCTAATCTTTTTGCTGGATGTAAGAATGATCATGTTTTGCATAATTTCTACCAGAATGGTGTATGGTGAGGTAACCAGCGCTAGCCAGCACACCACAGGAACTCAGGAAGTGCCGCTTTCTCTGTGTAAGACCTACATGTGACGCCCACGTGATGGGCAGCAGGAAGGGACCTCAGTCAAACACCGAGTCTTTGGAGGAGCTTGAAATACCTGAAGACGTAACCCAGGGTTACATGGAGAGGTTCTCCTCCAGACCCTCACCTGTGGGAAAGCCTGCCCAGGTTACTCAAATCCAGACTGTACTGACCCCAAGTTACTGCACTGTGGTAATTCCCAGAAGGAGGTCATCGAGTCCTCTGCAGCCACGTACATGAGCCACCAGCCACACAGAAGTTATGCAGGTGGTCACCATGGTTCAGGTCTGTGGGTGAACAGCCCTGTTAGAGCTTACAGAAGTCGCCTCAGAGGCTGTGGGGACAGTGAATGGCCGGAGACAGCCACAGGCTGGAGGCCTGTGATTCAGCCCTGTCTGTGGTCAAGATGCACTCTGCTTCACCCTGAGGCAAACATGTGGGGTGCCCTGCTCACGCATCTCTGCCCTCACCCTCGGGAGCAGAGGAGGCCAGGGCCGAGGACATGGGAGGCTATTCAAAGTCCCCAAACTCGCTCCACTTTGGCCTCAGAACCCAGTTCTTCCCTCTCTGCCTTTTCAATTAAAAACTGGTTTTCTCAGTGCAGTATATTATACAAAATTCTTTGCACTGTGCATATACCAAAATGGACAGAATAGACATTCTCTTGGGTTGGGAGATGGCTCAGTGGCATAAGCGCCTGCCTGGCAAGCACAAGGTCCTGAGTTCAATCCAAAAAAAAAAAAAAAAAAAAAAAATTCTCTTAATTTGCTGCCTCCTCTGCCTAAGAGAAGCTAAAGTAAAAATTTTTAAATATACTTCTGGAATTTTCTTCATCATTTCTATGTATATGTATACATATATAATTAATAGACTATATAACTTTGTTGTGAAGATGTCATTTTAAAATATATACTGTTCTTGGCCACACATGAAGCAGAGGAGCTGGGGTGCCACACTAGGAGCCACATGCTTGGGAGTGAGGACAGGGAAGTTGGCTAGAGCTCAGCCATGGCTCATGGACCCAAGAAGCATCCGTATCGAGTAGCAGCTCCAAAGCATTGGATGCTGGATAAAGTGACCGGTGTGTTTGATCCTTGTCCATCCACCAGCCCCCAAAGCTGAGAGAATGTCTGCCTCTCATCATCTTCCTGAGGAACAGACTCAAGTATGCTCTGACAGGAGATGAAGTAAAGAAGGTTTCCATGCAGCACTTCATTAAGATCGACGGCAAGTTTCGAACTGATATAACCTGTCCTGCTGGCTTTATGGATGTCATTGGCATTGACAAGTCAGGAGAGCATTTCTCTCTGATCTATGAGACCAAAAGTCTCTTTGCTGTTCATCGGATTACACTTGAGAACACCAAGTACAAGTTGTGCAAAGTGAGGAAGATCTTTGTGGGCACAAAAAAGCTCCCTCACCTGGTCACCCACGATGCTTGCACCATTCGCTACCCTGACCCCCTCATCAAGGCCAAGGACACCATCCAGATTGATTTGACATCTGGTGAGATCACCGACTTCATCAAGTTCGACATTGGTAAGCTGTATATGGCAACCGGAGGTGCTAATTGGGAAGAATTGGAGTAATCACCAACAGAGAGAGGCACCCTGGCTCTTCTGATGTGGTTCATGTGAAAGATGCCAGCAGCAACAGCTTTGCCACCTGGATCTCCAACATCTTTGTCATTGGCAAAAGCAGCAAGCTCACCATTGCTGAAGAGAGAGATAAGGGGCTAGCAGCCAAACAGCAGTGGGTGAAATGGTCTCTAATGACATTTTATAGAAGTCTCTGTTTAATTAAAGATAATAGAGCATGATTATATATATATATATATATATATATATATGATATATAGTTCTTAAATATGCTTTTCCAACTAATATTATAGCTGCTCAATAAATATTTATCAGTAAGTGAGCCATAATTTATAATTCAAATCTTTTGGGCTTTTCCCAAGTAGCTATTCAACAAACGTGACCCAGGATGGCCAGGGATGCCATGTCACTTTCACTATATATAAAAGATATGATTGAAATACATATCTATAACACATATAGAAACATAGGCATAATTATATGTAATAAATAACTCTAGTAAAATATACATGCAGTATAGAGGTGGTCAGAGCACTATGGTGTGTTCTGCGCACCTCCCTGCAAGTTGATAAGTTATCCTCAAAAGACAATTTTCAGGCATGCATTTGGGGGCCTCTGGGAATGACACCTGGCCCCCTGCCTTTGCTGGGTTACAGAGTTCCACACTGTCTCTAAGCCCTCAGCAAAGCAGATCAACTTAGATGTGACCCAGACTTCAACAATACCAACAAAGTACAATGCTTAATCTTAGAAAAGAAACCACTTCCAATTCTTCTGAGAACAAGAAGGATAGAATAATTGGACCTAGTGAGGAAAATAGGAGAAGGAAATAGAACAGTCCTACCCCTGCTGCTGTAGGTCAGACATTCCTGTCTGACCCTAATGTGTGGTAATTGTAGGTCACTTGAAGGATGTGACCTTAGGACAGATTCACCTCCCGAACTTCTCCCTAAAGCCAAGCACACAATGATCTGCTTCCTGCACAGGGCCGAGGTTTGTCATACCCAGGTCCAAGGCAGCCTGAAGTACCCGTGCCTTCAAGCACGGCTTCCTATCCCTACACATTGTCTGCTAGGTTTACTGAAGCCCACCGAGTGGTAACAGCTTGCAAGGGTGGCAGGAGGTGGAAGCCCCTGTGGACGGTGAGAGGTGACCCAGGACGGCCAGGGATGACAGGTCACTTTCACCTGGGCCTGAGGACACTCCCCTGCTGAGACAGTGACTGTCATGGTGGCAGTAGTAGGGACAAAAACCCAGCTCTGTGGTCTTCACAAAGGGGGCAAAGGAAAGAGGCGTTTGTGAGTTTCTCTACACACAAAAAGCACTTAAATGTGATCTTTAGCTCTGTGAATGCAGGCTCCGGCCTGGTAGGCTGACGGGAACAGTGAGGCCAGGGGCTGAGTGTGCAAAGCGGCAAGGGGGCCGAACCCCAGACAATGGTGCTGCCGGGGGTTGAGGTGGAGGGGTAGCGGATATGATGGTGAGGAAGGAGCTTCAGTGGGAGTGAATACTAATTAGTGACATGGATATTAATGATGACAGTAATTAACAGGGGAGAGGAAGGGCTGTCATTGTCCCAGGGTGAGTAATCAATCTTGGCAGGTGATAAATAATGGTTGGACAAGCTCAGCAGAAAGATAATCCCCTGGCCCTAGGGAGAGCTGGAGAGATGCAGGAACTGCACAGTCTCCAGGCAACCCACAGAAAAGAACTATTTTTCTTTTGAGGGAAAAACAGGGTAAAGTCTCTCCCCCACCCCCAACTTGGGATTACAGTCCTTCTTTGATTTCTGGTTTGTTCTTCATATCCTAGGACAAATGTTGAACTTGTGTAATTGGAGGAAGTGAATACACGTTCTCTCTCTCTCTCTCTCTCTCTCTCTCTCTCTCTCTCTCTCTCTCTCTGAATGTGAGTGAATGGGGGTGTTTTCATCCAAGCTTTAGCTCACGGATGCCAACCCAAGGGGAGAGTGGGGAGATGCTAATGGTTCTACTTTCACAGCTGAGTGCTGAGGACTCCAAGCCCTGTCTGCGAAGGCCGGACCCACAGGGAGCCCAGGAAGTCGGGGCTGGGGCCAAGGTAGCCATGCTGTGTAGGGCTGCAGCCCACCGAGCCAGAGAGAAGCAAAATCAACGTGTGGGTCATTCGGCCACGCAGGTCCTGCTTCTGGCCAGTGAGATTCTGGGAAATTTGCTTTCTGAGAAGATGGCGCTGCGGGCGAGATGTCTGGAGACACAGCCCAGGAGAGCAGCTAGCAGACCCGCCTCTCACACGGAACCCTCAGACTCACAGGAGGGCCCAGACACCTGAAAGTGTTGCCCCTTTCACGCTGTTCTCCATCAAATATTCTGCCTGAGGTGGCAACACCCCCTTCGGTGGTCTGCACTGGTATGCAGTGAGATGTTTGGGTGATGCATGTGCACTGAGCAGATGCTGAGAACTCTCCAAAAAATCCTGCTGTTCCGCTCCCCTGTCCACTGTGATGCTCTTAGAGCACAGGTTCTAAGTGCCATGTTTCAAGGGAGGCGAACACAGGGGCACATGCACAGGGGACTGTGATCAAAATAGTGGCCCACCTCAGGCCAGGTCACGTGAGGAAACCCTGAGGAGACCCGAGCACGTCTCACCAGGAGCGAGGACCCTGTTGGCTTGTGGGAGGGCCGGTCTCACGGAGTCATTAGGTTTCGGTTTGCCTTTGCTGGTCTTCAGCTGAAACTGCTCTGTCATTGCAGGTACAGACATTGTGCAGTGGCTCATGAAGAACCTTGCCATCGAGGACCCAGGTACTCGGCCCTACCCGCATTTCCCTCCTCTGCCGTCCGCACAAAGCCAAACCTTGAACTTCCAAGTCGGGTTCTCCTACCGTCCTCACAACCCAGCCTGCCCGTGGGAATTCCAAGTCTCGCAATCACTCTATTTACAAATAAAATTAATTCACTTTCTCCATCAAATCTCCAGCTTCATATTTAAATCACCCTTGGAGGAAATGAGCAACTATTTAGAATGCCAAAGAACTCCACACAATAGCGTGTGCAATGGGATGAATTCTCGTTAGCCACAGCAATTAAAGATAAGTTGTGTACTGTCACTGAACAGCCTTCTAGAGCCAGCTCTTAAAATTAGATTGCCTGGTCCACAATTAAGATGTTTAATTATTTGCTGGGACTCCTTCTGTTTTCTGCTTCTGTGAGAAGTGAAGGGATGATGGGGTTTTTTTCAACTTTAATTGTGCATTTCAATTAGGAAACCCTCCCAGAAAAACAAGAGCAAAACCCTAGCCAACAAGGCAGCTTCAAAATCTATCCTCCTGCCAGGAAATAAGTGAGAAAACTTATTTTCATGGAATAATTGGGAAATGCTGGTTAAGTCTCCAGAAAAATGAAAAGTCTAGGTACAGATAGCTAATTAACTTGATGTTAGTTAATACCTTTCTAAACTTATCACATACCACTTCATCTTGCTTAATTGGATATTTTTGATACCTGCAAGTCAATTTTGTCTTTATAATCTCATGTGGGTCTACTCTGATGTCCTTGCTATACTCTGGGGACGGTTAGATTTATTTTCCCCAAATTCAATGGCTCCAATCACCATTCTTCCTGAGGAGGCTTTTCCAAGTGCCCTTGCAAGGTGTCTGACCTCTGGCTGGGGTCAGCCTATCAGATCAGCCTCCCTGGTATTTTTAACCTGACATTCTTAGCTCTATGGATTATAAAACATTATCATTTACATGCGATTCAATTAAATATGGCGGCCTAGAGTCTAAGTGCCAGAAACATGGGTCATCCGTGGAAGTGACCCTGATCTTTCTACCACCTTGGTTTGCAGTGATTCCAGCAGCTAAAAAAAAAAAAAAAAAAAAATCTTGGTTTAAGTCAAGTTCTTAGTTCACAGGCACAAAAACACTATAAATGTCCATTTTTCCCCCAGTGAGTTCCCTGTCCAGCTGGACTACTGATAGTCCGCTATGAAATCCGGACTGGACATCCATCTACCAGTTCAATTACATTTCTTTGAACTCAATGTTTCTTTTGATTTTGACTCTAAACTAAGGAATGCCATTCCTCCTGGTGGTCTTCTCCAAGAGCACTGCTTTATTCCCACTTTTCAAAACTCATTGCATGGCCTGGCGAGATAGTTCAGCAGTCTAAAGCACCTGCTTAGGCAAGCTTAGGCAGGCGCAGGGCACCGCGGCTTGATCCCTGGCACCACATGCCATACCATCCCTGCCCCCGGCAAAAAAAATAAAATAAAATAAAATTTTTTTTAAAAAATCATTGCATTTTCATTATCATCATCATCAGTCCAAGCACCCCAGCCCAGCCAATAACTGGTGAAAAGTCTCTGGCCTGTGTAATTATCATGCACTAATAAAAATAAAAATTAGAAACAAGAAAACAAAACTTCAGTGTGAAGGGCTGAATGAAGGTCTGCTAAGCTCCAGTGGCCTTGGGAGGACACCACGCCCCGACTTCCAAGTCACAGGAAGCAGCAGCACTCCAACAGAGACCAAATCCCTGAGCAGCCCGGCTTGTGACACCTGCCCCTCCCTCATTCTCTCTTTCCTTCTGCCAAATTTCTAAATGAAAACCTTTTTGCAAAGATTCTTAGCTCCAACGCTGGTGAGACGAAGGCCATCGTCTTCCAAGATCCTGCCCATCCATCCTTGAGAAGGGAGCCGCTGCAGGTGACGATAGTCTCCTCTTGCCAGACACACAACTCTGGAAGCATTCAGTTACTGCTCCAGTTAGTCCAGGTTGAGACTATTTAGGAAAAAACTGCATCTGTACTGAGCGAGTACAGACTTCTTTCTAGGTGTTTCCTAAACAACACCATGAGAGTTATTTACATAGGACTCACATTACATGAATAGTGTAAAACTAGGATCACTCCTAGGATAAAGTAATCTATAGATGATTCAAAGTATATGGGAGGGGACAGCGAGATAGCTCAGTGGTCTATAGCACCTGCTTAGGCAAGTTTAGGCAAGCACACGGGGACTGTGGTTTGATCCCCAGCACCACATCCTGCCCCCAGGGTGGGCTGAGCCAGCCACACACAAAGAAAAGCATATGGGAGGATATACATAGGTTATATACAAATATTATATTAGTTTTTAAAAAGATTTGAGCATCCACAGATTGTGGAGTCCATGGCAGTTCTGGAAGCATTGGTACTAAGAGACAACTGTGCTGAATTTTTTAAAAAACCTGATTATCAAGAAGCAAGTAAAGGGCTGGTGAGATAGCTCAGTGGTCTGAAGTACCTGCTTCAGCAAGCTTAGGCAAAGTGCAGGGACCACGGTTCCATCCTTGGCACCACATGCCACGCCAGCCCTGCCCCCAGAAAGGGCTGAGCAGGCCACGGAAAAAGAAAAAAGAAACAAGTAAAGCAAAAGCCAATCCGCCTTAATCCCATGTGTACAAGTATACATCTACATCTCTTTCAAAAGGAAATTAGTGATTCTTAACAAGCCAACATTTGGGTTATATTCAGCCTCTTGAAACGTTTTCAAGTAAAGCCAGAGCAAATCGCCTTTAAAAGTCTGACCCTATAAAATTTAACTAGGAGAGACCCCCTGAGCATGTCGATCCCATGTCCCAAAATTAGTTCTTAAGTACTTTTTAAAAAGTACTTAATAAAAGTACTATGAGATTTCTGAAAGATTCTTTTGTGTGGTAGGAGCATTTTCGCTCCCATTAGCACCACCCAAGATAATGCCGATTCTTAGCGATTAGTGTGAAGCTCCTTATGGCTGATGCTAAAGTAAGAAAGCAACAGGTTCACCGCGTTGATAAGAAGCATGTCCCTATTAAGGGGGGCTCGCGTCACTACCCACTCCGCTGCTCTTCCTCCAGCTTCCTTAGGGAGACTTTCCCTATGTGCATACGGAAGGGAAACTCCCTCCTGTTCACCCTTCGGGCCATTTTCTTAGGGACAAAGTGGGTCCAAATGGGCACGGGCCACGAGGATGCCTTGTTCTGCTCGCTGATGCGGACGCTGCACAATGAAAGTGAAACTATGGACCAGGGCTGCTTATTGAGAATTTGCCCTGCCCCTGACGCTGCTAAGCGCTCTCTGTGAAATATCTCAGTTCGTTAAATGCAAGTTCCCCTATACCAAGGCCCCTGCCCGTGGCCCCTTCCTGGCCCTGACCCTTATGCAAGGTCTCAGAGCGCGCGGGGGGTTAGGAATTGGCTGACTCTCAGAGCAGGACCCAGAGGCCCAGACGCATGACGGCTCTTCCCAGCTGAGGGCATCTCCCCTCCCCACGCCCACCGTCGGCAACCATGCCGCCAACACTGTCATTTAGGGATGTTCTCTGGCTTTTTGGTCTTATTGGAACTAAATAACCTTTTTGATTCTTTCTCTCACTGTGCAGTTGAGGCAATCCACTTGGGAAGCCTTATCGCCGCGCAGGGCTACATCTTTCCCATCTCAGACCATGTGCTCACCATGAAGGACGATGGTACCTTCTACCGGTTCCAGGTGGGTCTGCAGCTCCTCCTCCCAGTACCATCTGGCCTCAGGTTAGAACCACCTAATACCTAACTAACGCCTAAGCAAAGGGCGTTGTGGAGAGCAGCCTTCCACTGACACTGGGAAAACCGTAGAACGTTGTGTCTGGGATGTCTCTTGACACGCTTACACCACAGCAAAGAGCCCTGAGTGCCGCTAATTTAAGGGCACCAATCTGGGAGCTGCTATGACAGAATGCTGTAAACTAGGTAGCTTACACACACCAGAGTTTATTTCTCTCAGTTCTGTAGGCTAGAGTTCAAACCAAGACACCAGCAAGTTTAATGTCTTCTATCTGTCACATAGATGACACTTTTAGCTGTGCTTTCACACAAGAGAGGGGCGGGGCCTCTTCAGGCCTCTTACCACAACAGAAATCTCACTCAGGAGACCTCCACCCCCACCATCTAATGGACTCCCAAAGGCCACGTCTAAAGCCATTGCCTGGGGGAGTGGCGTCAGGATTACTCTTAGGGGTGGGAAGACAAATACTCAGGCCGTGGCAGACACGTTGTGCATATTTCCTTATCTATTGTGAAGAAGCCTCTGTAAGTTCATTCTACTGCTGAGGAGGTAAATGTCACCCATTTTACAGCTGGGAAAACTGAGATGTTCAGAAACTAATGTGGCACTTAGTAAACGGATCAGGAAGCCTCGGTCTGAGGGAGCAGATCCTGGTAGACCCATC